CGCCCGAGTTAAATACTCAGCTCTTTTGAACTTTCATTATAAATTTACATGAGTATGCAGTACGATGTTAACATCTGCTCCAACAAATCTTGAGAGCGCCTGTTGAGCCAATAGAATGCCCACATATTCCTGACCCATACATCGATGGAGATATCGTGGCCAAGCACAAAGTCGTACTTTCCCCCAAAGAAGCTCTAAAGTTGAGGAGTTAACGAAAGGTGAGATTCATTGCCGACGCGTCTCCTGTTGTATCTGTATATCTGTTGTTGCAGTGACTAAAGTGACTACGTATAGGTTATTTACAGTCTTAGCGATACTAGAGGCAATGCTTTGGTCTGGGAGGACAGGGACTCTTTTCAATCAGAATTTAGGGTATTTTAGAATTTTTAAAATGCCCTAATATCCAAAATGTTGATATGATGTTACTACAATCAACTAAAATGAACAGGTGGAAGAGCGCGTTGCTAAAGTAAACTGTTAAAGTGCGGCATCGATTGATGGACAAGTGAATGAAGGTTTCGAGTCCGAGAGTTCTAGACTAGAGGAGGTTTACGAGGAAAGCCACTGTGAAGTCTAGTGACAAGGGATGGTAGCGTAGCGTAGCTAGTTTTGCGGTCAGTGTCAGAGTTACCAAGACGTGCAGAAGTAAACGCGCAGGACGCGCTGCAAATCAAGCTTTACATTTTTGCATCTTCACAGGGTTTTGAACCCAAACAAGGTGTCGCCGTGGGAAGTTGAAGTCTCTGAGAAGACTGGCAGGCCCGTACGATGGGCAGGTCAGAACTGGGCGTACTATCGGAAGCTGATGGAGTTGGCGTTCGATGACGAAGACGTGTTCACCATTGCCACGGGGACCTTGACGCGAGACCCCAACTGGACGCCTCAGCAAGTCAGCATGTGGGACAGCCAGCAGCGAAAGATTCAACGGGTGATTTTTGCCTCCGTAAACACGGATTTCGGGCAGCAGCTCATGCAGCATCCTGATGGGACAGCCATGTGGGCGTACCTCTGCAGCCGGTTTGACGGGACAGTCAATGATCAGACTCGGGCCCTGACCAAGAGGAGGCTGTATGCCGAGCTAGAAGCGTCGCGGTGCAAGCCCAACGCTGACGTAGAGGGGCATCTGAACTCTATGAACCGGTTGCGTTCGCGTCTCCAGGCGGTCGGAATGACACTCGACGACACGGTGTTTAGCGGAATGCTGGCGTCGTCTCTTCCGTCTGGTGACCGATTTGATAGGCTTCGGGGCTTTGTGGAGACGGGTATGGACTGCGTCGACACTCCAGAAAAGATTATCAAGCTAGCGATCACGTACGATCGGGCCAACAAGGCTGATCAAGTGTTGTCACGGACGTTCAGCAGCGCCGACCACTCGACCAACCAGAACCAGCCAAACA